AGAAAACAGGACTATAACCTAGCAATATAGTGGTAGTAGACAATTAGCTTGACTACACATTCTATAAAGCAAGACCTAGATTATCTTTTTTTTTTTTTTTTTTGAGACACAGTCTCACTCTGTTGTCCAGGACAGAGTGCCGTAGCTCATAGCTCACAGCAACCTTGAGCTCCTGGGCTCTACACTCTGGCCTCAACCTCCCATGGAGGCTGGGACTACAGATAATGCGCCACGACGCCTGGCTAGTTTTTCTTTCTTTTCTTTTTTTTTTTTTAAGTAGAGAGAGGGTCTCACTGAGCTCAGGAGATCCACCCACCACCAGCCTCCCAGGCTAGGATTACAGGCGGGAGCCACTGTGCCTGCCTGGTCAGATCTAGAGTCCCTTGATGAATTTTTTTCCAAACTACTGACCAAACTAAGAGAATAAATTAGTTGTAAGAATGATATACTACAATGATACTTCTGTTTAAAGATAGATAAATTGGAAGCGATAGGGACTATAAAAGACTTACTGACAGCACTATTTTCTTCAATTTCACCCATGAATACGCTTTGTGAAAATACTGGAGGATTATCATTCACATCCAAAATTTTGACCGTGAGTATAAGTGGTTTCTCTACATCTTGTCCCAGGGCATTTAGAGCCCGGCATGTGATCTGGAAATAGAGCGATCATGTGAAAATTACTATCATACAAACTTTGCATACTATTAAAGCTTATAGAATACATGGTAAGGCCCCTGCTGGCATATACAGACATTTGGTGCAAAGGAGAAAGGTATTTCTCCAAAGGGTAAATAAAGAAAGTGGAGAAGGGCAGCCCGATCATGAGGAAGCAAGCTCACCAGGAAGCTTGGGGTTTCCTCTCGGTCAACTATGGCTGTTATGTTGATCTCGCCCGTGTTTTTATCAACAACAAAGATTCCAAACGGTGGCTGATCAATTCCCACTCCAGAAATTCGGTAGGTAATTTTCTGGGTTGCTTGGTAATCTGAGGTAATCTGTAGCCAAGAAGACACAACATGTTGAGGTCAGCATCACGCAGGCCTTGTCCTCCCGCCCCCACCTCGGCAGTCCAAAGGCATCCCTTCACTGGATCCACTCTTTCTGACACTGTGCCATTTATTTTTTGCTTTGATAGGTACTGGGAATATGAAATAAAATCAAACGGTTGCTTCTGCCAACCAGCCATAAATGGCAAAGATAACTTCTTTGTCCAGTGTCCAGTGGAAAAGAAAAAAGATTGGAGATCCCTGATAGGTGTTCAAATATGTATCAAAATGAATTACTTTTTATTATAATTTAAAGCTTTTTGATGGGGAACATTTCAACTATATATGAAGTTAGAAGAGTATAATGAAGCTGATACATGTCATCAATTCTTTTTTATGACTCTTTTTCTTGCTCTGTCTTCTTCTTCTTAATGTTCTTATTATACTACTTTTATTGAAGATACCAGTTCATTCCTTCTGTAGACTCTCCCATATTTTGCTAGTTGGCATGGGCGTCTTATTTTAATTTACATGTTCTACATTTATTCCAGAAACTCACGCTGCCCCGTTGACACATCTTACCTTGGCAATTGGGTTCCTTTTTGAGTTGTCTTCTCTCTCTCGGCAGGGTTTTGCAAACTTGACCCATTCACGTTTATACCTCCTTTTGGAATGTTGCACTGCTGTTCTGTCTTCTTCCTGTTGTCTTTTAGTCTTATGCAAAAAGGGATGCCATTTATTACATAAATTTTTACTTTGAATATTGATTATGGATACGTAGGTTGAGGAAACCCCTATGTTGAGGATAACCAAGAGCGTTAGATGGCTAATTTGCTCTCCCTGACACTTTGTCAGGCAAGAAACATTAAATAACTATGAAGCTATGTGAACTATAAAATAATTATACATATACGATAATTATAAACGATAATTATATACGATAATTATAAAATTGTAAAAATTATAAAAAGTTATAAAGTAATTATAAATCTATATGATTTTTAATATTGTAATTTAATCATATTTTATATTTTCTTTATATATTCCATAACGTCTAACTATCTGGGCATATAGCATTTGACAAGTTGATTCATTTGAGATATGAAAAAAGAATAAAATAAATTATAAGAATGACATTTAAAGATGACTGGTTCTTCAATATTATTGGATTAGTTGCTAGAATCATAATTTTAAGTTATCAAATACTTTGAAGCATTAAATATTTATTTTTCCATACATGATTTTAATTTTTTAATGTGAACTATTGTACGTACAAAATGCTTTTTCATACTTTACCTCTATGTGAAGTTCTCCGTGAACCAATACAACCACCTGTAAACATTTAAATAAAGTCAAATTAAATGTGAATCCTTTTCCTAAGTAATTGCATAAAACTAATAAATCCTGATTACTACATTCTGTTGTACATATAGTAACTTGTTTCTATTTTAAAGAAGTAGGTGTGGAGAAGCAGTATTCAAAGGTAAATTCCTACCGGGAAAAGGAATATTGCTCTTAATTATAAACAAGTTCCTCTAGTTCTGGCTGTCCTACAAACAGTTCCCAGAAGCTATGGAAGCCATTCTTTTGGGAAACAATGGTGAACGTCATCCTGATAAAATTCAGGAAGTGGCCATGGGGGTTATTAAAAACTAGCACAGCCTCACTGACTTGTAAGAAGGCAATTCGGGAGGCACTTGTGGCTCAAAAGAGTAGGTGCTGGCCCCATATGCTGGAGGTGGCGGGTTCAAACCCAACCCCGAACAAAAACTGCAAAAAAAAAAAAAAAAAAAGAAGAAGACAATCCTATATTAGTTATCTGCAATTGCAGGTTATTTTCTTTAATTGCACAAGCATGGAGAGGATGAAATGGGAGGTGTCTGGTTTAGGGAAGGGAACATTAGATGGGGATGTGCTATTCCATTCACAAACACTGTTCGCTGCGAGACATAGATCTGGTAATCTTTGCCTTATTGCTTCACTTTAAACTTTGAACTTAATTTGTGAACTGGTATGAAACAAATTAAGTTAGGATGAAATGAGACCAGGAAGGCGAGGGCCTTCACTTTCTGAAAAATGTATGAGAGGACTTTCATCCGTATCATTTTCCGTCTTGCTTTCCACCTGGAATGCATGCCTTTTTATCCTCCACCCACCTAAGTGTGACCCATCCTTTAAGATCCATGTAAGTTCCAACAACCTCCATGAAACTGTCTTTCTGATTACTTCTTTTCTGAGTTTGTACAATACATATTCTGTGCCCTGTAATTCAGCCCAAGAAGGTTTACCATGGTTTATTATTAATTATTGTTTTATGAGCATAAAAGAATATCTGTGCTAAGCTAAGAGAACTGTAAACTTTTCAAACTTTTCAAATCAGTGCATTTGCATATCTTTTTCTTGCAACCTTCACAATACCTGTCCCTCATCAGGTGCTTAAAACAACTATTTGAGGCCAGCCGCAGTGGCTCACCACTGTAATCCTAGCACTCTGGAGAGCCGAGGCAGCCGGTGGATTGCTTGAGTTTAGGAGTTAGAGACCAGCCTGAGCCAGAGTGAGACCTTGCTTCTAAAAATAGCTGGGCATTGTGGCAGGGGCCTGTAGTCCCAGCAACTTGGGAGGCTGAGGCAAGAGAATTGCTTAAGCCCAAGAGTTTGAGATTATGGTGAGCTGAGATGCCATGGCACTCCACCAAGGGTGACAAAGTGAGACTCTACCTCAAAAATAAATAAATAAATAAAAAATAAAACAACTATTTGCTGATCCATTGGTTATCTGATCTGAAGAGAATTTGGTAAGAAAATGATTGCTGAAAATAAGCCAGAAGAAAAAAATTTAGAAGAGTAATAATAATAATAGTTAATGTTTATTACATGGTCTCTGTGTCTGTGTCAGGTTTTTTCTTAGAGCTTTATACTTATTATCTCATTTAATACTTACAGCAGCTCTGGGAAAGAGACTCTGTTATACTGTATTGTTATAATCTCCAGGTTACGGATGAAGAAATGGAGACATGAGAAGATGAATACTTTGCCTCAACTAACAGGTCTGGTAGAGCCAGGATCTGCACCTCAGCCTGACTGCAGAGCTTGTACGCCATTGCTACACTAGATTCTAACCACAGTTGAAAAAAAGAAATAAAGAAAGAAAAAAAAAATGGAGTGATAGGAAGAAAGTTCTGTGGCAGTCAATTTAGATTTATTAAATCCAAGTCAGTGGTTACTCCTGAAACAATGAAGATTTACCACATTGTTTATTTTCTGGAATTATAATGATTAGTCAAGTCCAAGTCTGACCCAAAGGAGCAATTATGTCAGACACAGGATGCCAGGACCCTTCCATTCTAAACTTTTCAGCTGAAAATCTGATTTCAAAGAGCAGGTGCTCAGATTGTCCTGAAGAAGAACAAATATACCCAGTTATAACGGGTCTCAAAATGATTCTACAGCCGTGCTGCTCTTCCTTAAGCCATACCATGAGTTACTGGGGTGAAAAGACCTGAGTGGTACACAACTTCTTTCCCAGTTCATGAGAACGACTCAGCCACATGGAAGGGAAAGGGTGGGCTGGGAACGCTCCCCTTTACAGGAAAATCGGAAAGAGTCATCGAGAAAACATGAATCGTGTTGGTACTAGCCCCACATGAAGAATGACTCTTCTAGGAGACATTAAAGTACAATTTCTGTTTTCCTGGGAAGCAAGGGAAGAACAAATCCTAAACTCTGGGAAGTTAATACTGTTCCATCTGTTCATAGAATCAGATCCCTTATAGGAGTTATTTAGCCTAAATTCTTACCCTTTCCTATCCTTTCTTTTGAAGTCAGACCACCAAAAGTGGTCCCTAATTTTGAGAAACATTGTGGAAATGTGAATTTTTTTTGTGCTTCTTGGACTATGCAGGAGTTGATAAGAAACATTTCTGAATATTGCCATGCTCTTTAGATATTTAGAAATGTAATCACAGGATTATATTATTTAGCATAGTTTTTTTAAAGCTTAAGTTACTTTTGTTAAGTAATAATTCATGCAATACGTACTTGTTTTAATTTGCTAATATAATTATTTTGAATATTTAGAAAATGATGTCATTTATTAATTTATTTTGACAAAAACTGCATATGGTATATACCATGTACAACATGTTGTTTCGGGATGTGCATACATTGTGGAATGGCTAAATCAAGTAATAAATATTTCAAAGTTTTCTGACAATTTAATCAACTAAGTTTTCTCTTTTGGTGGCCTCGACTGAGAATATCAATGTGGAAAAAATACCACTTATCTTGAGAATTTCTGTCCTTTGCTTTCTGTACTCTGATTTTTCTGGTTATTTTGTAAATTTTAATTATATGATTTCTTTTCTTTTCTTTCTTTTTAGAGGCAAAGTCTCATTTTGTTGCCCTTAATAGAGTGCTATGGCATCACAGCTCTCAGCAACATCCAGCTCTAGGGCTCAAGTGATTCTTCTCTCTCAGCTTCCCAAGTAGCTGGGACTACAGGCACCCACCACAATGCCCAGCTTTTTTTTTGTTGCAGTTTGGCCGGGGCCGGGTTTGAACCCACTACCCCTGGTTTATGGGGCCAATGCCCTACTCACTGAGCCACAGGTGCCACCCTTAATTATATGATTTCTAAAACATCAATATAGCCTAAAGGCTTTGGTATAGATAGGAATTGGAAATATTCTATTAAAATCAGATCTGACAGGCCAGGTGTGGTGGCTCATGCCTGTAATCTCAGTACTTGAGGGACCAAGGTGGGTGGATTGCCTGAGCTGAGAGGTTCAAGACCAGCCTGAGCAAGAGTGAGACCTCATCTCTAAAAATAGCCAGGCTTTGTGGTGGGCACCTGTAGTCCCAGCTACTTGGGAAGCTGAGGCAAGAGAATCACTTAAGCCCAAGAGTTTGAGGTTGCTGTGAGCTGTGATACAACAGCACTCTACCAAGGGTGACAAAGTGAGACTCTGTCTCAAAAAAAAAAGAAAAGAAAATGAAGTTTGATTATGAAATTTACGAAGTATGTGAAATAAAGTAATTTGACCTCACATTCCTAATTTGCTAATAAAAATGTATATTGTTGTAACTTTAAGGTTACTATTAAATATGGTAGATATAAAATAAATATGATTTGAGGATATGGCTGGTTAGATTTTTAAAAACCATGTCTAATAACATCTGCTATTTAAGTAAATTTGGCCAACATTTTGGGGGATAATTGCATCAAACTGTAGTGTGAGGTGGGACAGACCATTAATTTACAGACAGATGCAGGGAGCACGTCCCAGCAGGGTCAGGGCATAACCACTCTTCTAATCTTTGATACAAAGATTTCTCTCTGGGAAACTTGCAGAATAAATTTGAAAATGCAAAGAAATAATTATAAGTTTTAAATGTGATTTTGTGTTTATTAATCTTTTGGAAAAGTTGCAAAATATACACAGGTTGGTGATATTTCTGTAATTGGTACTATACAACGATAGCAAATGCATCAGGTCATGGGGGTATTTGAGACATTTGTTGAATAAATTACATAGGTACAGTTCAGAAGAAATGAGCAACTTATTCTTCATAATATCTTTCTCAATACATTGAGTTTTTGAATTTAAAACACCAAGACGTTATAATAAATATTGTATTTATTGAGACAAATTCCTTAATTGAACAAAAATGATATATGTGTAATGACTTGGAAAATTATCATTTAGTTTTGGACAATTCTATTTTCAGGAACTGATTTTTAGAGTTAACTCAATTGAGAAAGTTAAGCTTTATATCATGATAGAGATGCTAAAAAAAAACAAATATCCTTGGATGTAATTTTTTTTTTTTGAGACAGAATCCTGTTCTGTTGCCCTGAGTAGAGTGTAGTGGTATCATCATAGCTCATGGCAACCTCACACTCTTTTTCTTTTTTTTTTTGAGAAAGAGTCTCACTTTGTCAGCCTTGGTAGTGTGCTGTGGTGTCACAGCTCACAACAACCTCCTGGGCAACTCCTGGGCTTAGGTGATTCTCTTGCCTCAGCCTCCAGAGTAGCTGGGATTACAGGTGCCCACCACAATGCCTGGCTATTTTTGGTTGCAGTTTGGCCAGGGCTAGGTTTGAACTTGGCACCCTTGGTATAGGGGGCCAGTGCCCTACCCACTGAGCCACAGACGCCACCCAACATCACATTCAAGCTCAAGTGATCCTTTTGCTTCAGCCTCCCATACCTGGGAGTATAAAAATGTACCACCATGCTTGGCTAATTTTTCTATAGTTAGTAGAGATCAGGGTAGGCTGTAGTCAAGTATGGTAATATAAAATTGAACACTAGATTCTGAATCCCTGAATT